CACATCCAATGCATACTCATAAATTTTATCAACTCAACACACCATAATAACACATAACAATAATTTCCAAAACATATTATCCTCATTCATCATCAACTCACAACATAGATCTACACAAAATTCAAGTATCATGTTCATAACATTCTCTTAGAATTAATCAAATTAACACACCATAATAACATATAATGCATATGACACAACACAATGTTATGGTATCACCATTCACAAAACATGTTATCAACTCATAATGTTATAATCAATAACAATAACACAACATCACCATATTACAACAACACAACATACAAGTACATGCCATTTTACACAACCAAGCCGTAATTAAATCACCTACTACTAGTAATACCATTTTTATTGAAAATAATACCGCGCTAGATTTCTAACACTTTGAACAGGGACTCAAATGAAGTTACAGTTCAAAAGTTGTGAATTTTTAAAGTTCCAACGAAAATGCAAACACCGACATCATACACTGACACAACTAAACCCCATTAACACCAATTAAATTTATTTTCAAAATATGGAACCACTTTTACAAGAAATTAAATTGTATTAGATTTCCACGGATTTTAACGGTGCGTCAAACGGACACCTGAAGCTCAAGTTATGAATTTTTGAAGTTTTACAATATTTGCAGTCAGAATTGACGAAAATCAATAGTAGTTGTACGGAAATTCCTTTCATCCCAATTCCAAAATCCCAAATTTCATGAAACATTACATATTCAAACCCCAAAATCTTATTAACATCAACACACATAATTGCAACACCATTACTCATCATATTTAAGGATTTATTCATCAAAACCTAACAATTCCAAAACTTAAGAATTTCATGAAACGTTGCATATTCAAGTTCCAATTTCATTTACTCATTCACCCACATCATTAACAACATTTGCATACATTTCTAACACCAATTTAATCAATTCTAATTTAAAACCTAAGTATGTCAAAACTTAGAAATTGAAATCTAAATCCCTAAATTATGTATTCTACTAATTACATACATTCTATTATCCCATAATCAAATGAAAACTCACTCTTACCTTATATGTAGATTCTCTAGGGTTCTTCCCTCTTCTCTTCTCTTTTCTCCCTATTCTCCTCTTTTCCTCTTCTCTTGGTTTTCTTCACTTTCTCTTTCTAACTTATATTCTTCTTGTCTTACTAGCTCTAATAACTATTATTTTTCTCAAATGAGCTTATCTCACCCACTCACACTAATGTGACATATAAGTCTTAATCAATTAATAATTCTATTTTCAAACCCAATATCCCAATTACTCATATAACACATATTTTTAATTAATAAAATAAATTATATATAACACATCACCCACTAATTCAAATAACTCATATTTTCACAAAATCACACAATTTAATTAATTATTATATTATATAATAATTAATAAAATAAATAACTAATAAAATAATTAGTAAATAAAAATTGGGGTGTTACAGAATATATCGCTCTTACTGAAGTTGTGAAAGAAGCATTGTGGCTTGAAAGTTTTGCTAAGGAGCTGAAACTTCAAGGTTGAGTTATCACTTTTAAATGTGATAGTCAAAGTGTAATACACCTATGGAAGAATTCAGCCTATCATGAGTGAATCAAGCACATCGATGTGAGGCTGCATTTCATCAGATTGATAATCGAGCATGGAGAAGTCCAAGTGCTAAAGATTTCGACAGATCACAATGCTGCTGATATGATCACCAAGACATTGTAAAGTTACAAGTTTTACCACTGTATGCAGTTAATAAAGCTGCAGGAAAAAAGCTAGTTTGTTCTTTGATATTATAGAGTTTGTTCCAAGGTGGAGATTTGTGAGATATTGGAATTGAACTCTAGTATGGTCGAAGGTTCTTGGTTTCGACCGTTCGACAGAGTTATAGCATGCAGTCGAAGGTCGCTCACATGCTAGTGTCGAAGAAGTGTATGTTGTAGTTGAAGTATGGTCAAGTATGCAGTTGTCGAAAATGCTAGGGTTGTTAGCATGTCGAATTGGGCCTGTTTGTTATGTCAAATTATTTAAGTTAGCTTGTACCCTAAGTTAGCTTGTAATGAATATTTGTGAAAAGGCCTATTAGTATAGTATGTTAGGTTTATTATAAATAGCATACTAGTCTCTTATTATTGCACACAACAAATCCTAATTTAGGATGAGAGGATTATTTGTTATTCTTGTTTAGTTGTAATCTTGTTTGAAGAGAAAGTAAAGAATATCAATTATAACTAATCTTTATTGTTTGTTTTTGTGTTCTATCATCTTTTCTCCTATTTATTTCTTGATCATAAAAAAATAGTTTATATTTTATTTCAAAGACATTTAATTTCACAAGAGAGTGTGTGATGAGAACCATGATAAGGAGGTCATTCATGTCACAAGTAAAAATGAAACTATTTCTATTAATTCGGACTTTGCTGAAGTGTTGGCTATTAGATGGGAGTTGCAGCTGGCGGGTGCGGTGAAGCTAGAACGTGTGGTTGTGCAATCATATGCACTTAATGTTGTAGAATGTCTAAACATTATTAGTTTTTTTTAGTGTTTTAGAATCCATAGTCTTAGATTATATTATATTGTTAAAATGTTTTAAGGATGTTTCAATTATGTTTTTGAGTAGGAATTTGAATGAGATGCCTATCATATGGTTGATATCGGCAATAAGTTAAGTTAAATATCTCAAGTAAGTGCAATTTATCTTTATTTGGCTTTTGTTTCTTACTTTTGAATGAGCAACATTTCTTTCAAAAAATAAAAATAAAGAGAGAAATTCATAAAATATAAATAATAATAATAATAATAATAATAATAATAATAATAATAATAATAACAATAATAATAATAATAATAAAGTTTAAAAAAAAAAGAAAAAACTTTAAAAAACAGATAAATAAATTCTCAATTGAAAAGTTAGACGGTCATGTTTTACTAGTCAAATATTCAAATAATTAAATTTAGTATATCTACTTTTTTTTTCTTTTTCTTTATCATCTATTTAAGATGAATAATTTATAATTTAATTTTGACTTACAATAATTTATTTAGATTTTGATTGTTTTTTATTTATTTTATAAGTGGTGCTTTTTTTAGAAAAAGATTTTGTGCATGATTAGGTTATAAAGATGTATTTTTTAATCTTGTTAGGATATTTATTTAGCCATTGATTAATAAAAATAATGATTAATTAATAAATTGATTAATAGTTTATAATTTATATTTAATGACTGATGACTAATAATTTATATATTTATAGTTTATAAATAATGACTAATAGATAATAAGTTAATTAAAATAATTGATAAATTTAACAATTTAACTAGTCGATAAATATAAAATGTAAAAAAAAAACACTTAATATACAATTTTTTATTAGATTATGTTAATCAGTGCCTTATGAGATTATCACGTGTCGAGATATTAAATCTCAATCCTTTATTCTAAATCAAACGGTTATTATTTCTTCTTCTCACTCTCATATTAGATTATCTTTTTTCACTAGATACGTCTCCTATATACATATATATATATATATATATATATATATATATATATATATATATATATATATATATATATATATATATATATATATATATATATATATATATATATATATATATATATATATATATATATATATATATATATATATATATATATATATATATATATATATATATATATATATATATATATATATATTGTTAATCTCTTACAAAATTCTCAACTTATTTTTTTTAATCTCTTAACCAGTGTTTCAGAGACACACGCTAACATTTTTTTTATAAATTAAAATAAATTATAAAGAGTAAAAATAATTTTTATTAAAATATAAAAAGAAGAAAAATGATAAGTTATAAATTATAAATTAATAATATATAAAAAATAAAGATAAATTAAAAAAATAAAATATAAATTTATGGTGAAAATACTATTATCAAACACGATTTTTATTCTCATTTAAAGTTAGAAATTATAAGTTTAGTTAGAAATTGAGTAACCCTTATAGGAAACGGTAGATATTTACAAAGATTAATCTTTCAATTTTTTTTATTAATATAATTTTGTAATAAATAAGAATTTTTTTTTTAATAAATAAAAAACAAAATAAAAAATTGTGTTGTTATCATTTTTTAAATAGCAAAATAAATTCTCTTAAAAACGAAACACGATGGATGTTGAAAATAATTTATATTTTAAAAATGTCTTGTTCACTAAATCTGTTAGAGGGTATTTTAATATTTTATTATACTCTAACATTTATGAATAAATAGCCAAGTAATAAATATATCAATATATTCATTACTCCTTATTTTGTAACTGTCATTTAATATATTTCTTTTGTTTTTCATCTCTCCTTTGTGCACCAACATGGTATCAGAGCCAGGTTCGAGAAGGAGGCCGGAAGAGACATGTATCGAAATGCGCCCAAGAAGTGGTGTTCCATTGCAAGATGTCAACGATGGTCAAGTGGGGAGCATTTGAGGGGGAGTGTTAGAATAATATGACAAGATACAAGTGGAGAGCATTGTGGATTCACACTTGAGAGGGAGTGTTGGAATAACATGACAAGTGTGAGTAGAGACTTGATAATATATAAGTGAGAGAACTCATTTACCTATCACCTTATAATTTTAGATGAATAAGTAGTGTGTTTCTCACAAAGATATATAATCCTACACTATGCAATCTGCAATTGTGTTTGTTTTCTTTTTAGAAAGAAAAAGAAAAAAAAGAAAGTAAAACAGCCATTGATTAGATTTCTTTTGTTAATAAAATCAAAATATAAAGGAAAAAGATTCAAAAAATAAAGCTTTTATAATATTTTTTTCATTATTAACTATTATTACTTTTTCCATTTATATTAATGTGTAATAAAGACAAATCCAAAACTATTATATATACACATCCGTTATTATGACAAGATATATATTTCTCCAAATATTAACACACAAATCAATATTTGAGAGAGTGAGAGATGGGTTTTGAAAGGAAGGTTTATGGTTGGATTGTGATAACCATTTGTATGGTGATTTGTCTTAATCCATGCATCTGTTTGGAAGAAACTAATGAAGGGAGTTGCAATATATACGAAGGAAGTTGGGTTTATGATGAATCTTACCCTCTCTATGATTCATCAAAATGTCCTCAAGTTCGTTTTCAATACGATTGCTTGAAATATGGCAGAACTGATAAAGAATATCTCAAATACAGATGGCAACCAAGCAATTGTAACTTACCAAGGTACCAATTTATTAAACTTTACTTTTACACCAAAACCTCTATAAGCACTCATACTAACATTACACGAATACTTGTAATTATATTTAATTTATTTAATTTTTAAATTATTATCAATATGGAAGTTTCAGTGAGTGAGTGTTTTTTACATACTTAGCTTCTTAGTTTTATATCTTCTTTTCAAATGTTTGTTATTGATTGAACTATATAATTGATTGTGATTGATTGTGATTTTCTGCATATCAATAATGGATGGTGTGTGTGTTTACAGCTTAATAACATGCAATTATAGGCATAGCTTAAAGTTTTTTTTTAATAATTTTTTTATAATATTATATATATTTTTAAAATAATTTTATAATAAATTTTATAATAAAAATTTAAATGAAAATTTAGTTTGAATAAATTTTTTTAAATATTATTTTTAAATTTCAATACAAAAATAATTCTTTTTCTTGGTAAATGAAAAGTATCAATCCATGAGTTGTATTATTTGGTTTCATGTCCTTCATATGATTTAGTTTTCGCTTTTAAATATTAATTAATCAAATTAGGTATTAGAAAAAAATATATTTAATAACATTTGTAAAAAAAAATATTGGTGTTTGCAGATTTGATGGAAAAAGTTTCTTAACGAAATTCAAGGGAAAACAAATAATGTTTGTTGGAGATTCAATTAGTGTGAACCAATGGCAATCATTATTATGTTTGCTTCATTCTACTGTACCTGATGCTCATGTAATAAGAGGAGGTCGGAAACCCATCACAAATCACACATTTCAGGTTAGTGAACCCTTTTAAAATTTTTGCAAAAATAAGTAAATAAAAAAATTATTTCTTTTATATTTAATTTTTAATATGATATCGAGTAATTTTTCAATATTTTTACAGGAGTATGGAGTTTCAATTGTCGTCTATCATACGACATATTTAGTTGATATTGAAGTGGAAACAATTGGTAGAGTATTGAAACTTGATTCTCTCAAGAGTGGAAATATATGGAAAGAAATGGATGTTTTGGTTTTCAACACTTGGCTTTGGTGGTACCGCACTGGACCCAGACAACCGTAAGATTTAAAAAGAAGCACTTTTATCATTATTTTTGTCAAATAGTTGTGTTAAAAATTTTAAGGTGAATAAATAGTATATCGTGAATTCAAACTCACACTTTTATAATTTAATATTTCTGCATAGTTACTAGCTGAATATTAAATAATTGAAATAATGTGATTTTAAAATTTTATTACAGATGGGATTATATTCAAATAGGTAACGAAACAGTGAAAGATATGGACAGAATGGAAGCTTTTAGAACTGGTTTGACAACCTGGGCTAAGTGGGTTGATAGAGAAGTTGATGCAACCAAAACTAAAGTTCTTTTTCAAGGAATTTCTCCTATGCACTACCAGTGAGTTTCACAATTTCTCTCTCTTTTTTAACATGATATTTTTGTTTATTTGTTGTAATGTCTTTATAATTATTTTTATATGTGATATAAAAAACAGGGGGGAAGAATGGAATGAGCCCGGAGTAACAAATTGTGCAAAAGAGACAACACCAATAAATGGATCATCATCAACACGTGGGTTACCAAAAGCATCATATGTATTAGAAAGTGTTTTGAAGAAAATAAAGAAGCCGGTTCATCTTTTCAACATTACAGCTCTCTCAGAATTGAGAAAAGATGGCCATCCTAGCTCTCATAATAGCTTTCATGACATGGATTGTACTCATTGGTGTGTAGCTGGGGTACCAGATACTTGGAATGAGCTTATGCTTAAATCAATTATAAATTAGAATTAAGTGAGTGCCAATGGTTTAACTAGATGTTGTTACATTTTAGTCCTCGAGAACAATTATACTATTAGAGATCACATATATAAATAATTTAATAAAAATTTTACAACTAAAAAATAATGGTGTTAAGACATTAAATATAAAATTTATAGCATAATAAATGTCTACATTAGTGATGGACATTCATGATTCATAGTGAAATTTCTTCTCATCTTTCTTCATTTTATCTTTAATATGATTGTAGAGATTTAAATTGCAAGTGAATTTGCATCCTCGTAAAGTTACTATTTAGACTTTTTAAACTACCTTTCTTTTTGACATGGACCTAAGGTCAAGATCTAAAACATTGATTAATGGAAACATTGTGATTGTATAATCTTATATTAACTACATAATTCTTGTAATATTGTGACTGCATAATTCTTGTAAACATTGCCTGCATAATGCTAACATTGTGATTGTAAATGCTTGACAAATTTAGACAACACAAGGCATGTAATTTAGCGGTGACAGTGGATAACATTCAGTTTCAATATTGTTTGAACATTTGTGCATAATGCTAACATATAACATTTGTGCATAATACTAACATATAATATTGGACATCATCCAATTTTAACATTGTTTGATTATAATCACTTGAAAAAACAATAACATTAACCAAAATATTTAAGATTCATACATTAACCAAAATACTTAAGATCCACACATTAACCAAATTACTTAAGATCCATACATTCAAGATAAAACTAAAGTCACTACTTAAGTCAAAATAAAACTAATTAATATCCATACATTACAACTATATTACTACTTAAATCACACATGACATTCAAAATAAAACTCAAGTCACTATTTTTGAGTAGGTTGAGTTTCTTGAGGTGCTTGTCAACCTTGAGCAACTTCTGTTTGATTTTCTTTGGCCTTCTTGGTTCCTTTTCCACCCTTCACTTTATTAGCCTTCCTTGGGTTATTACCTCCCTTTAGAATTTCCCATTCAGGTGCTCTTTTTCCTCTACAACTCCTCTTTTTATATCTCATAGCTCCACATTTTGCACATGTTACAGTTGAAAGTCTCCTTGACAGTATATGAGGATTTTTATTTCTTTGTTTTTTGGATTATGACTCTTCTTATCACTGGTGGTGCAACTATATTCTGATCATATGAAAGCCACAATTATGGTACATTGGTTGGAAACACAGTGTTTGATTAATTGCTCATAAAAGTTGATTTCCTATAAAGCCAAAACATAACAACATAATTAGAAATGGTATCACACATATATGAACAAAATAGAGCAAGAAATAGTATCACACATACCTATAATATTAAACAACATAATCCTTAAGTTTTTTTCATGATGTTCCATATACATGTAATTACATGACATTAAGGTAAACCAGACAAATCCCACATTCTACATGAACAAGTTTCTTTTTTCAGATTCATATAATAAGTCTCAATGCTATTGGTTACACAAAATATAGAAAAATCATATGGATTTCAGGACATATGGATCAAATGTAGCTCTACAACAATTCTTGTTGACTAGTTATCCTCTTGGTGATGTAATGCTTGATGCTTTACAATAAAGTGATAATAGGCTTGTCCATATGCTCCAATATTGTCCTATTGAATGCTTCACACATGTTTTTCACCTGCAAGTTATAATTTGTATATGTATTGAAGTGTGATATGCTCCATTGGCATGCATGGACTTCTAACATATCTTTCCATGCATCTTCATTCAATTCCTTCACTCTTTCTACTAACCTCTCCTATGCTGGAACTGTAGTTTCCCCAATAGATGCCCACATTACCTCTTTTAACTCTGCCCCCAAGGTACTTCTTCTTCCAGTTATCATATAAATGCTTTAGACCCAAACTATGCTCCACATTGCCACTGATACCTTGAACAGATGGAACTAGTCTTAGTCACATGTATGCAAACTTTAAACAAATGTAAACAAAATAAATCATAAGAATAAACAAGATATATAAGATAATCCCTTTTATTGATATGATATAAATGCATAGGATCTTTGATTGAATCCCTCAAAATCTTGTAGAAGAAGGTATAAAAACCACTTACATGAGTCTCTTATTTCAACTTCAATAATAACATATGTAACTGGGAAAATTTGATTATTACCATCCCTTCCTACTGCTTCTATTACTATCCATCATAGTCATCTTTCAAGAAACAAGCATCTAAACCACTGAGAGGCCTACATATCTTTGCAAAACCAGCCTCGCAAGCCTCTACACAAACATAGATCTTTTCAAATACATGGTTTCCATTACTATTAACTCATTGTATTACAACAATACTATTAGGATTTTATTTTAATAACTATTGTGCATAACTTCTCAAATAAGAGAATTGCTCAATGCCAGCCTCTAAACCAACTCCATTTCTTTCCTTTTGTCCATATATGCATGATCATGTGATAGTTTCACTCCACACCTCTCAATAGACTCAACTATGAGTCCTAATGGTTTCATATGATGACTATGTCTAAGGATGTTTGCAAAAACATTTGTGAGCCACTTTGTCTTTACACTCTTATTGTCTGCAATCTTATGGTATGTATGATCTTCAATTAAAATCACTACTTACCAAAATTGGTGACCAATCCTTTTACTAAATCTCATATATGACTTACACTCATCCATGCATTTAGTCACCATCCTTTTGGAATCATTCATCTTAATTAAAACATTTTTTACATGGCATAATCCTCGATAGCATCCATTATCACTTCTTTGTTAGTAAACATCATCCCTAACTAAATTTTCACCCTCTTAGCATAATTATAAAGAAGATATTTCACTCCCTCATCATTATCATCATCACTCCCAAGAGGTGTATACAAATGATCATAATCTTCACTCTCCTCGTGAACCATCTCAAATGGATCTTTCTAGTTTTGGCAACTAGAAACCTCATCTAAAGTCTCTTGGGATATTACCTTTGTCCATTCATCTCCTCATATTCTTCACTAAATTAAAACTCATTATTCTCAAAACTATCCTCACTTGCAACATAATCCTCATCAATACCTCTTTCACAGGTTCATTGTTAACATCAACATTAGGGTTATTCACTTCTCTAATGCTATCATTATTAGTACCTAACTTACTTCTTTTTTTCTCTGATTCAATTGCATCATCAAGATGTTCATTACTAATATCTTCATCAAATCCATTGGAACTTTAAAACTAGTTCATTGTACACCATCCTCACCATCACCATAAATGTTAGGATATATTTCACTAGCATCCATAATATCAAGAATTCCCATATTGTGCTCCACATATACATCTATTACCTCATATCCAATGACATCGTTGGAAAATTGCAGTACATTCTGACTATTATCAAGGGTCTAAGACTACGAGAAAAGTTATATGCATGGTTCTAATACTACAAACACTGTATATTCTTGTAACCCTCACTTTAAATCAAACCATATCATTATATGTATGACACATAATCCACATCCAACCTCTAATTCATCTCAGAAACATCCCCATCAACATACCATTTAACATGTTTTTCTACTAATCTTCCCCTATGGTGTAATCTCAACCTAATCTTATGACTCTTAGATGGCATGAGAAATAATCAAAACAAAAATACTATAAATTATTAACAACAAACCCATAATGAGATAAAAACATACAACATTACAAGTGGGACCACAAGAATACATAAGCAAAAGCATGGGGGACCACAGAGTACAAATAAAGAGAAGCAAGCATGTGGAACACTGACACTTGCAAAAGGGACAAATAAACATACCTTACACATTATTTGACTTCTTCACTACTCTCCCTTTGAGACTGTGCTTTCATCGTCTTCGTAAGCACCAACTTTGAAACCCAGAAAGAAACTCTTGCAGGTTTAATAAGCATTGAATAATTGAGATTGAGATGCGACTGTGTAAGAGGATGATTGAGTTTTGCAAATTCCGTTGAAGGTTGATTCAATTGAGACGATGAAAGAAATGAATATGGGTTAGGGTTCTTGAGGAAGCATGAACTGGGATTGGAAACGTGGACAATATAATGTGTTTTGATTTTCTCACTTTTATAACATTATATCAATTGTTATGTTTAATAAAAAAATATTTTTAATATTTTTTTAATTAAAGTATTCGTTTTATTTTTAAAAAATAAGACTTGCTGACATGACACCATAATCAAACTGCCACCTCATAAATGAAAAGGACGTGTAAGCAAAATTGGAGGAAGACCATAAAAATCCCAATGAAAGTGAAATTAAGGGACAAGAATGATGGGTTTCGTAATAAGTGGACCAATAATTTAAATGCTCAAATTAAGAGGACCAATATTACATTTAAGTCTTATTATTAAAAAATAAGTTTATTATTAAATAATTATTTTATTATTTTATCAATTAAAAATAATTTAAAACATAAAAAAACAACAAAAAAAAAGGATGCAAATGGATATGCAAATATCAACTATGAATACCGATTCGCCCATTGAAATTAAAAGTAAGACATTTGAGGAATCTTTTTCCAAAGTAGGGCATTTAGAAGGAAAAAAATTCAAAAATAGGACATTAAAAGCAAAACTCCTATTAAACAACTCATAATTTTTTTACAAAAAATAAAAAAATTAGGTTTTTAATAGTAGAAATGTATTTTTACAAAAGTTATTTGAGTTTACTTAATTAATTTTAAAGTTTTTAATATATTATATTCTTTATTAAATTAAAAATATATAAATAGTTTTTTTACAAGAGTGATTTTATAATTTACATATAACATATATCTTATTATATCACAACTAAGTATGTATCAAATACATAGAATAATAATATATTATTTTGTTTGCATCAAGTCGATATAGAAGTGTATATGAGTATAAATTGATTCATAAACTTACCAACCTAAATCAAACCAACCAACTAATAACTTGAATTTGTTCATTTATGGGTTACCCAAACCAACCTGTGATAACTCATAAC